CTCTATCCCTCTTCTATCCGCCTCCCACTCTCTCCCTATTTATTTCAAAACCCCCTTCCCCTCCCCCTTTTCTGATGAAGGGTCTAGGCCCGAAACGTCAGCCTCTCTGCTCCTATGATGCTGCTTGGCCTGCTGTGTTCATCCAGCCCTGCACCTTGTTGTCTCGGATTCTCCAGCATCTGCAGTTCGTACTATCTCCAGTAGAAACAAGCCCAGTTCATCCATCTTTTCCTCGTCAGACAGCCCCCTCATTCCAGGCCTCAATGCAGTAAACCTCCTCTGAACCTCCTCCAACGTATTTACATTTACATCCTTAAATAAAGAGAGCAAAACTCCAGACAGAATTTAAAACATGGTCTCACCGATGTTCCGTGTAGCTAAAGGTTCATCCTTATTTTTACTTTCAATTCCTCCCTAATAAAGAAGAGGATCCATTAGCTGACTTGATTACTCGATGCTGTCTCTATCTCCTATAAAAATTTCAATGACTCAAGCACTGGATTTTTTTGATTTTGATTTGATTTATTATTGCCACACAAAGTCATAGAGATGTACAGCACGGAAACAGACCCATTTGTCCAACTCATCCATGCCAACAAGATATCATAAATAAATCTAGCCCCATTTGCCAACATTTGGCCCATATCCCCTAAACTCTTCCTATTCATATATCCATCCAGATGCCTTTTAAATTTTGTAATTGTAGCAGCCTCCACCACTTCCTCTGGCAGCTCATTCTATTCGCACACCATCCTCTGCGTGAAAAAGTTGTCCCTTTTAAATCTTTCCCCTCTCACCTTAAACCAATGCCCTCTGATTTTGGACCCTCCCACCCCCAGGGGAAAAGACCTTGACTATTCACTTTATCCATGCCCCTCATGATTTTATGAACCTCTATAAGGTCACTCCTCAAACTCCTCTGTTCCAGTGAAAGAAGTCCCAGCTTATCCAGCATCTCCCTATAATTCAAACCCTCCAGTCCAGGTAGCATCCTGGTAAATCTTTTCTGAACCCTCTCCAATTTAATAGTATCTTTCATAGAGTAGGGGGACCAGAACTGTACACTGTAATCCAAACGTAGCCTCACCAACGTCCTGTACAACTGCAACATGATGTTCCAATCTCCTATACTCAATGGTCTGAGCAATGAAGGCAAGTGTGCTAAATACCTTCTTAACCACCCTGTCTACCTGTGACGCAAATTCAAAGAACTATGTACCTGAGCCCCTAGGCATTTCTGTTCAATAACACTCTCAACACTCCGCTGCCATTAACTGTATAAGTCCTGTTGGCCCCTAGGGAGTGCCACACTGTCAGTGCCTTTGTTTTGTGGATGAGACATTAACCCAAGGCTCACCTACCATCTTAGGCACTACACTGGAAACAAGTGATGAATTCCTTTCCAGTGTCCTGGACAGAATTTAACTCCTCAATCAACAGAACTGAGAGCTGGTGACCTGTGCATCATCACATTGCCGTTTGTGGGGGCCTGCTGTCTACAAACTGGCTGCTCTGTTTCCCTCATTTCTTAACGTGCTGTAACCCATTTCACTGATTGCAGGGCAGCTTGAGATGCCAGTAGGTTGGATTAGGCATTTTATAAGTTACTTTGTTGCTCCAAACCAATTGGAAATATTTTTTTAAAACAAAATCAGAGTGCAAGAGGAGGCCATTAAGCCCATCAAATCAGCACCATTACCTAGTACCAACCTCCTTCCTCCACCAGCAGTGTTAAATATAAAGGTTTTAATGATGCGGCAATTTTTATTTACATTTTTTCCCCCCACAGTGTTTCATTTCATTATAGAAGAAAGTTAATAAGGTTGAAATAATTCCAAGCTTTAGTCGATGACCTCACCTAAGTTCAAGTCTTTTAAAAGTCATTAGTCCGAGAGTATGGAGAGAAGGAGCTAGAAAGTTTTGGTGAACAAAGTGAGGTAGAATGGAGACACTGCACGCCAACTTGTACTTTTATAGCACTTGCAACAGAGTAAATGTCATCAAGATGTTTCAAAGGTGCATAATCAGACATTGCCCTCCGGCAGCTGGAAGGACAAGGGCAGCCGATTACCAGCAGTACCAGTGGGGGGTTTAGGGGAGTGGGAGGGCTTTGGGGGGGTTTAGGGAAGGGGGATTGGGTGAATTTGGAGGGGAAGGTAGGGGATTTACGGAGGAGAGATTTGGGGGGAGGTGTGGGGTTTCGGGAGACGGTGAATTGGGGGGGTGGATTTGGGAGGGACTTTCAGTGCTTAGCAGCTGTAACTATGGCAACCAATGATGGAGTGAAGAAAATATAGAAGACTCTTCAGGGATTTGACAGGGGAAACGTGGACAGGTTGTTCTCCCCTCGTGGTTTGTGTGAGAGTCCAGGACCAGACCCTATAATCTCAGACTGAGGGGATACCCAATGAAAACAGAGATGGAGAGGAATTTCTTCTCCCTGAGGATAGTGAATCTGTGGAATTCTTTACCTCAAAGTCCTCTTGCGGACGGGTTGTTAAGTATATTCAAGGCTGAGACAGAGTTTTAATCAGTGAGGGAATCAAGGGTTGTGGGGAATCAGGAGGAAAGTGGAGTTTAGGACGATCAGATCAGCCGCAATCCCATTGAATGGCGGAGCAGACTCGATGGGCCGAATGGCCCGCTTCTGCTCCCACATCCTATGGTCTTATGCTTGTAAGAAGAGGATTTGCAAACGCCTTCTCTTGGTCAGTCTTGTCGCCTTGTGAATGACCTTCAGCAAGTGAATTTAGACAGAAGACCCGCCAAATTCCCACTCTGCCCCTGTGTTCCTTTCTGCTCTCTCCCCACCTTCCTAAGCTCCAGCTGCTCTCCCCAGGTGAGGGCTGAGCTCAGTTACTGCAGTAAAGAACCACAGAGGAGATGGGAACTCCCAAAGCAATGGTACTGGCTGGAGTTAGATATAGGATCGCTAGCTACCCATCTGATATTGCAACAATGATATTCACAGGACAGAATAAAAAAGGTGAGATCCAATATTATGTATAACTTGTTTTATTTTTAAAACACACGCACAATAAATAGAACAATAGATGATGACAAGTGTGATATTGATTCCAATATATACTTTGCACATTGGCACAAGAATTCACTTAGCTTACCAAATCCATGACCAGATGTGACAGGGTGAGGGTTATACCAACCTGGCTTTCCATCTCACAGGTAGAAAGGTGAAATACCTCAAGGTTAATGAGCCCTGGGACTTGTTGAAAAGGAAATACCTTTCACTGTGCCTTTGTCTCTGCACCTTGTTGAATTCTTATTGGGACCATGTTTTCCTTTGGTAAACAAGTGCTGCAGGAACTTGGGGTGGGGGTGGGGGCGGGAGGCGCGGTGTTACAGAGATCCCTGAGCTATGTTTTACTGGCAGCCTGGGGTCACGTCCAGAGTTAGCACAAGACCTCCATCTCTCATCCTTGTAGTAGTTTTGCAAGCTTATCTTTCTCAGGAAAACCTGACAATTCATTCACAAGGCTTAATCCTGTTCGACCTTTCACATGAATGGAAATACAGCGAACTTTGTTTTAACCGGCACCTTAAACGAGCAGGCCCTCTCGACAAACTGGCAGTAACGCCTAAATACCGGAAGTTTAACGTATTATCTGCGATCTCAATTGTGGGTGCAATTGAGATGGCTGTCTGCCGTTAAGTTTTATTTAAGGCAAAGTTGCATTTCTTATTTAAGTGATTTATGCTGTAACCGTGACGTGTATATCCCCTGCATTATATTTCCATTACTTAGTTCGTGTTTTCACATTGATTTTGTGGACCGCTTGATCAACTGGAATATTAGATTATCCGCCACACTCCTGCTCCCCTAGGTGCCGGATAATAAAATGTTTGCTGTACTGTGAATCTGTTTTGATTTGTGGATTGGTACAGCTCTATCGTTCATAGATGAAAATGTCATGGTTTATTGTGACCTTGGTGATGTTTAAACGCATATATATAAGGCAAAGGCACTCATTTGAAAGAGGGGACAACTGCTGGTAAATTTAACCCGAGGCTGCCCACAGCCCCAGCAAGGGGAGGGTGTGAGTCCTTCATTGGGAATCTGAGTTGGTGTGGGAGCAAAGCCCATGCTGTTGGTGTTACTCAGCGTTACAAACCAGCTGTCCAGCCAACTTAGCTAACCAACCTCCCTGCCTCTGACAGATAAAAGCATATAGAGGGGAGCTTGGAAAAGTGAGGGACAATGGAGATTTGCATCTTGGTAGTGTGAAAGTCACCAAATGTGTCCTCTCCTCCACTGAGGAGAACACAGAGTGGAGAAACAGAATTTGGGATTGTTTTGGTTTTGAGTTTTGAAAGGATACCAGTCGCATTTAATAAGAACGGGCAGGACAGCAGTGCAGGAAGTAGATGTGGGTCAGAGTTTGGGAAATAACGACAGGATTTGTTTTTGCATCTTTGACAGACTACAGACCATGTTAAGGCATTTCTTCGTAAATCTGATATCCTTGTTAATTCAACGACAGTTATGAGCATATGAATTAGGATCAGGACTGGGTCATTCAGCAACTGTTCCACTGCTTGATAAGGTCAGGTCTGGTCTGATTGTGGCCCCAAGTCTACTTTCCCTCCTACACCTCCTCCCGATATCCTTTATCGATCTACCTCCGCTTTGAAAATATTCAAGGACCCTAACCCCTCTGCTGTTTGGGGGACAGAATTCCACAGGTTCACCATCCTTGCAGACAAAATAATTTTCCTTACCTCTGTCTGAAATGCCTAACACCACCACCCCCTTATTTTTTTCCTAGTTCTAGTCTCTCCTGCAAGCTTGTTGTTATTTACTGACGCGTGATCATTTTCAGTGTGGTTTAGATAAAAGCAAGATCATGATGGTTGTCGAGGTGAGGAAATGGTGGAAGGAACTGAAACTCTTTCCCAGGAAAAGTTACCCAGTCTTGGTACCGACAGTTCCCAGGTGCATTTCAGGACACTAGTCCTTGCAATTGTGGCCTTAATTGTGGATGGAAATGCAACACAGCCGTCGAAATAGAGTCAGAAGCAGGCCATTTGGCCCCTCAAACCTGCTCCACCATTTAATTAGGTCATGGTTGATCTGCTTGTGTTTCAAATTTCATGTTCTCCCCGAAAACACTACGGAAAACATAATATTTTTAAGGTGGAGGTAGAATCATTGACACAGTTCCAGAATATTCTAAGGCAGAGCATTCCAGAATTGCAATGATTCTCAGGGAAAATAAAATTCTCCTCAACCAAAAAGGCGACCCTTAAATTTTAAAACTCTGCCCACTTAGGTCTGGACCTCTCCAAGTCGCAGAATCCCTGCAGTGTGGAGGTAGGCTATTTGGCCCATTGAGTCCACACTGACCCTTTGAAGAGTATCTGGCCCAGACCCAACCCTCAGCCCTATCCCTGCATTTCCCATGGCTGAACCAACCAGCCTGCACAATCCTGAATACTACTTCGTATGCCTCACTCTGCCTAAGCACCCTAAGACCTGTATGTCCTTGTTTGCTATGATCTGCCTGTACTGCTCGCAAAACAAAACTTTTCACTGTACTTAGGTACATGTGACTACAATAAATCAAATCAAATACAATGGGCAATTTAGCACGGCCAAACCACCTAATCTGCAGGAGGAAACCCATGTGGACACAGATAAAACATGCAAACCCCACACAGACAGCTCCCCCAACAGTGGAATCAAACCCAGGCCCCTGGCCCTCTGAGGCAGCAGTGCTAACTACTGAGCCACTCTAAGTCCAGCTTGTCAAGGATTTTCAAGATCCTGTACACTTCAATCAAATTTACTAAATTCTAGCAGCAACAAGTCCAACCCATCTAAACTTTGCTCATAAGACAACCCACTCATTCCAGCAAATCTCTTCTGAAGCACCTCCAATGCATGTGACCTCGATCAGAGAGGTCTGTGGCCTCAGAATGCCAAGAGCTAACTCCGTCCCATGGACCAGCTCTCAGTAGGAATGAGAGAGAGCCCGTATAGCCAATGTTTATGTAGGACTCTTACATCCAACAAAGGTTCCCTTGCCTTACCTGGTCGCAAGTCACATCTGCATCACACAAGTAGTGGGCAATGACCATCTCCAAAAGGATAATTTAACCATGCCACCTCAACATTACCATCCACATCCATCCTGGTGGTTAACATTGATCAGAAACTGAACTGGACTAGCCATATGAATACCATTGCCTACGAGAACAGGATAGAGGCTAGGAATCCTTCAGTGACAAACTCATCTCCTGACTCCCCAAAGCCTGTCCACCATATACAAGGCACAAGTCAGGAGTGTGATGGAATACTCCCCACTTGCCCTGGATGAGTGCAGCCCCAACAAAGCTCAAGGTGCTTGACACCATCCAGGTCAAAGCAGCCCCCGCTTGATTGGCACCACATCCACAAACATCCACTCCCTCCACCACCGATGCTCAGTAGCAGCAGTGTGTACCATCTAGAGGATGCACTGCGGAAATTCACCAAAGATCCTCAGACAGCACCTTCCAAATTAACAACCACTGCCATCTAGAAGGACAAGGGCAGCAGATACATGGGAACACCACCCCCTGCAAGTTCCCCTCCAAGGCCACTCACCATCCTGACTTGGAAATATATTACTGTTCCTTCACTGTCACTGGGTCAGAATCCTTGAATTCCCTCCCTAACAGCATTGTGGGTCAGCCTATGTGATGGCAGCTCACCACCACCTTCTCAAGGGGCAACTAGGGACAGGCAATAAATGCTGGGCCCAGCCAGCAACACCCACATCCTGTAAGTTAATTTGTTGAAAAAGATTGTCTAAAATTTTCTAACCAAGAGTTGCACTTGTTTCTGGGCAGGGTGGAGATCACCTCATGCATAAGTAGATATAGCAGGGCACTAATCAGGACTTTCCAGATCTGTCCTCCACCGAACCCCGCAAAACCCACTCACCTTCCATATTGGTAGTCAGCTAATGATGTCATTAAAAACACAGAAACTTGGAGCAGGAGCAGGCCATTCGGCCTTCCAAACCTAGCCCATAATTCAATCAGATCTTGGCTGGTTCTCTATCTCACTTGCCACTTTCTCCACATATCCTTAGATTCCTTTAAAATCTAAAAAAAAACTTCTGTCTTTTTCTTAAATAGACTCAATGACTTGGCCTTCTATGGTTGCGAATTCATCATTCTCTGACTGAAAAAAATCTGTCATCATCTCAATCCTAAATGGCCTTCTACGACTACAATGAAAAGATTTCTGTGAAATAATTATTATACTATTCTGTTCACATAAGATCACAGGATCCCTAAAGAGGCCATTCAGCCCACTGAGTCTGCACCAACCCTCTGAAAAGCATCCCACTCAGACCCACACCCAACCCTATCCCCTATCCTCATATTAACCATGGCCAATCCACCTAACCTGCACATCTTTGGATTGTGGGAGGATAGGAGAGGCTGGGATCTTTTTCACTGGAGCATAGGAGACTGAGGAGTAACCTTATAGAGATTTATAAAATCATGAGGGGCATAGATAAGGTGAATGGCAGGTGTCTGTTCCCTAGGTTGGGGGATTTCATGACTGGTGGTGTATTTTTAAGGTGGGAGGGCAATTGTTTTACATAGTGAGTGGTTCACGTGTGGAATGAACTTCCAGAGGAAGTGATGGATGCAGGTGCAGTCACAAAGTTTAAGAGACATTTGGATAAGTACATGAATAAGAAATGTTTGGAGGGATATGGCCAAGCAGATGGGACTAGTTTAGTTTGGGATTATGGTCAGCACAGACTGGTTGGACCAAAAGGTCTGTTCATGTGTTGTATGACTCTATGAAACCAGAACACCCAGAGGAAACCCTACACAGGCACAGGGAGAATGGGCAAACTCCACACAGACAGTTGTCCAAGGCTGGAATTGAACCCAGGTCCCTGGTGGGGTGAAGCAGCAGTGCTAACCACTGAGCCACCATGCCACCCAAAATGGTGCTGCTTTAGAGAATGGTTTCTGTAAGATTCAACGAGCTGAAAATTGGCTCAGGACCTCACAACTCCTTTATAAACAAAAGCCCTCTTGCAGGAGCGTGCGTGTCTAAGATAATGAATGAACTGACACACAATGATCCAGCCCCACTTAGCATCCCTACCCTGGGTCTCACAATAACCTGAGGCATCAGTAGGAGGCAAAAACTGAGCCGGGGGAAGATTTTCTTAGCGCACAGCGCCTCAGCACACTCACGGAGAATGAGGGGATCATTTCTCATGGTGCATGGAGGAATTTCTTCACTCCCCATCCACCATCCCCTCCCCCCACATAATTGACAGGGTGAGCTGGGGGTGGTGCCCTCCAGTTCACTTGGGAAATTGCTTTGGCAATTTGCATTTTTTTAATGTAAGCATGTTACCACCTCGATGGTGATGCTCAGTTTCTTCCTGTCCTATGGCTGACCAGGAATCTCGCCTGTCCTTAGCGCCCACTGCTGGTGTCAGCTGGAAAAACCTGCAGTTCTATACTTGTTTGGCCGCATTATCAAGTCCTCAAGTTGGTCGAACCCAGGGCTACTGACTCAGAGGCAGGGAAACTACCCCCTGCAACTCAAGGTGGTGGGAGAGGGGAGGCAAATGAGGTTTTCCACCAACCAAACTCCTCATGCCATCACATATTTGTGGTCTGTCATACAATATCACACTTGCAATGACCTAATATCCTCCATGTGTTAATGGACAGGGCACCACGCCAAGTGCTCTTCCTGACACACTGGAACATTTTACCTTTCGGCTAAATGGTTTCACCTTCACAGAAGAGACTTTGTCAACAAAACACACGGCATTGTCTTAGAATCAACACTCTCCATGTTGCCCCAGGCCTCGTGTGTTGGGTCCTCGCCTGGTCGTTATTGACTGGGTCACTCGAAAGAACAGGCCTCTGGATTGACAAAGATAGGCTTCGCTGATGCGCCACTCAGGGTGGGAATTAAAGCTACCTTCCAGTTCTCCACCTTGACATTAAACGTTCAACTCGGAATGCTCTCCGAACCCAGTCCAAGCAGGAATGAACCAATGGCGGGAATTGCAGTCTGGGCTTGACTTTCCCTTTCTCTCTTTCTTGTTGTCCCTTGCCCATTCCCGTTCATCATCGATGAGCTGTGGCCAATGTGGAGACCAGAGTCGGCTCCTGCGTTTCTGGCTCTGTCTTTATCAAATGTTCCTGATCCTCCTCCTCAGTGTTTGGGCTCCCTCCGTCGCCATAACAACTGGACGAAGGTGAGGTGGTTGCGGTGGTGACTGATGAAAGTTGCCTCCTCAGGGCCAAGGCTGGCATCGCTATCAGGCCCAACTTTTGGGGAATGGTTAAGGATTCGGGAGCGGGCGCTCCGTCTGTCGCCGTGTCCTGGTGGGGAGAGTCTGGGCTGTGGGAACCGCACATACCGTTCTTCCTGAGGGGAGGTCGGAGTTTCGCCTCGGGCTCCTCCTGCACCGCCTGGTCATTGAGCAGCTTCACCAGGAAGTTGATGTACTTCATGGCCAGCCTCAGGATCTCGTTCTTGCTGAGCTTCTTGTCGGGGGGGTGGGTCGGGATGAGCTTGCGCAGATCCGAGAAGGCCCCGTTGACATTCTGCTGTCTCCAGCGCTCTCGGCTGTTGGTGAACATGCGGCGCACCACTTTCTGGGGAGGCCCTGAATGGTTTTGGAAGAGAAACGCAGACCAGTCCGTCAGTCAGAAGAGAAAAACAGCACAGCATCCAGACAGGATTTGCCCCAAGGAGTCTACCTCAGTTCCTGCAAAGGGACAATCCAGTAAGTCCCACTTCCTGCTTCGTCCCCTATCTCCCTGCAATTTTTATCCCCTATTCAAGTATCCATCCAATTCCCTTCTGAAGGCTATGAAAAAAGGCAGGTAGACAGAGTCAGGCAGCAGATCAGTGAATGGTGGAGCAGGCTCGAGGGGCTGAATGGCCTCTCCTATCCCTCTGCACTCGCCCAGCTATCAGGTTGCTCTTTCGAAATCCTAGCCACTGTTTACAGTGTGGGGCAGGAAGGGGCTATGGCCTAGTGGTATCATCGCTAGACAATTAATCCAGCAACCCAGATAATGTTCTCCAGGGACCCAGGTTCATAGCCTGCCATGACAAAATGGCGTAACTTGAATTCAATAAAAATATGGAATTAAGCGTCTAATGACAACCATGGAAAAATTGCCTTAGGCAAAAGAAAATTTCCTTTAGAGAAGAAAATCTATCCTTTCCTGGTCTGGCCTACATGTGATTCCAGACTCACTCTTTAACAGCTCTCTGGGCAATTAGGGATGGGTAATAATACTGGGCTCAACAACGCCACACACTTTCCATGAACGAATATAAAAGAAAAACAAAAACATTTTCCTCTCTCTGTCTCCCCTTCAACCTGTTCTCTCATGGGAGGTGATGGCCTAGTGCTATTATCGTGAGGTTATTAATTGAAAAGCTCAGCTAATGTTGTGGGGGACCAGGTTCAAATTCTGCCACAGCAGGTGGTGGAATTTGAATTCAAAAAGAAGTCTGGAATTAAGAATCCACTGATGACCACGAGACCATTGCTGATTGTCAAAAAGAACCCAATTGGCTCGCTAATGTCCTTCAGGGGAGGGAATGTGCCATCATCCTTACCTGGTCCATGCTACATGTGACTCCAGACCCATAACAATGTGGTTGACTCTCAACAACCCTCTGAAATGGCCTAGCAAAGCTCTCAGTTCAAAGGTAACTAGGGGACAGGTAGTGATGCCTATGAGTGAATAAAAAAAACTCTATTGATACTTTAGCCATTGGTAACATCCAGAAGCGTTATTACAGAAACAGAACAGGTTGTTTTCCCATTACCAAATCACCCAGATACTTTACACCCTTATCCAAAACCACTAATCACCCAGGATTCCAATGAATGAATTTACCTGCAAAATCCACCAGGGGCAGTGTAACAGCACCAAACTTGAGAGAGAGGGGAGGGGATTAAGTCAAAATGGAGTAGGAGGAGAAATAAGACACTCCAGCCCACTTGCTCTTTAGTACTTTTTGTTGTTTCTAGAACTTGACACAGAAACTCCCGGCCATAGCGCTTAACCAGGGTCAAATTAAGCAACTTCTTTAGCTACGCATCAATTACTCAAGATAGGGTGATGGAAACTGCCGAGGCTATTCATCTGCACTAAGCAATATATTTTAGAGATGGTTCAATTAATTTACTTTAGATATTTTCTAATCAACTTGTTCAGAAATATTATTACACACCTCTGGAGCAGGTGAGACTGGAACCTGGACCTCCTGTCTCAGAGGTAGGAACACTACCACTGTACCACAAAACCCTCGCTTCCTCTTTATTTACTCCTTCTATGATGGGAAACACCCTTATCAAAGCCCTTCGCCAACTCTAAATCCCAGGTTAAAGGACGCAGGTCTAAATTGGGCTTCAACTTGGGTGGTTTTGTTGGCAAAGTCTTATACAAGCATGTTCCCAACCAGATGCCTTCCTCCCCAACTCAACGCTAACCCAATCCGCTGCCTCACCTAACATCCGGCCTTAAACTCCATCATTGTATATGAAGGCCCAAAGCAGCCCTGAACCTGGGCCTGAACTGAGCTGTTGGTACCGCTACTGGGGCAGTTACCGCACAAAGCAGACCGAGCCATGGAAGCGAGGGGGGTGGGGGGTTTGATGGGGGGTGGTGCATGGTGGAGGGGCAGTGTGGAATTGACCTGTGCAATCTGATAAGGTCTGTCCAGTTGACAATTGTCCAGTTCTGGTCTCCCAGTTATAGGAAAGATATTATGAAGCTGGAGAGGGTTCATAAGACATTTACCAGGATGTTGTCAGGAATGGAGGGTTTGAATTATAAGGAGAGACTGGATAGGCTGGGACATTTTTCACTGGAGTGTAGGAGGTTGAGGGGGTGATCTTATAGAGGTTTATAAAATCATGAGGGGCATAGGTAAGGTGAATTGCAGCTGTCTTTTCCCTAGGGTATGGGATTTCAAGACTAAGGGGCATATTTTTAAGGTGAGAGGAGAAAGATTTTAAAAAGACACGAGGGGCAACTTGTTCATACAGAGAGTGGTTTGTGTGTGGAATGAACAAGTGGTGGATGCAGGTACAGTCACAAAGTTTAAAAGACATTTGGATAAATACATGAATAAGAAATGTTTGGAGGGATTATGGGCCAGAAGCAGACAGGTGGGACAAGTTTAGTTTGGGAATATGGTTGGCATGGACTGGTTAGACCGAAGGGTCTGTTTCTGTGATGTATGACTCTATATGACCATTGCTGATTCCTGGACATTTAGATATGAGCGTTCCCCCTGACAACAGTCCATCAGGCAGGGGCCTACTTCCAAACTGGAATATGAGCACATGCCCACTATATTGAATGGTGAGGTTTATCCGGTTGTGAACTGCGCGTACCTTCACTGGGATCCTTTGCCACTATCATGAACAATTTACAGCAGGCAGAACTTCAGGGACTATCTCAATATCTTCGTGGGGCTGCTGCATGACTATCTCTCAATAAAGCCCAGCCCAAGAAGGTCACAGAGGAGCAGCACCTACCATCATGCACCTCCATTTCATAATGGCTTGAAAGCCTTCTCTTGATCCTGTTAGCTGGGAACATGCCGAAAGTGCTGGCTCCAATATATGCACTAGAATCAAAACAGAAGAGATTATGAGACCTTTCTCCAATCACGGAAACATTCACTTCCTCCGCCCACTAATACCTAGTGGGAGCAGTGTGTTCCACCTACAAGCTGTACTGCAGCAATTCAACAAGGCTCCTATGACAGCACCTTCAAAACCTATGACCTTTACCACCTAGAAGGACATGTGCAACAGATACATGGGAACACCGCCACCTACAATGTCCCTCCGAGTCACACACCATTCCCAACTGGAGCTGTACTGATGCTGTTCCCTCAGCGTTGCGGAGTGAAAATCCTGGATCTCCCCACGTAAGGTACCTCCACCACAATCTGACAGCTCGCCATGACCTCCTCCAGGTCACTTAGGGACAGCAGAGAAAGGCTGACCCAGCACATCCACATCGTGTAAACAAATCTTTTACCAAAAAGTGAAGTTCTGGTAGAAAGTCAGCCAAAAACTCATCAAATGGCAGAGAAGGCTTGAAACGTTGCCTGGTCTAGTCCAGGCTCTGCTTCTCTTGGTCTCACATGGTTACACTGAGCAAGTTAGCAGGAACCATCACTGTGTGATTGTTCGCTCTCCACTTTCTGTTGGCAACTCACTTGCATAAATCATCTTAGCGCTGTGCATTTTAGTTTTCATTTAATTAAAAAGACAGTAATCCTTGAGTTTTGGCCGCAGGCTCCACAGAGAAAAGATTAGTGTCTTAGTGGGCCAACCAGCCTTTGTTCCTTTCATATTATGTTATATTCTGCCTTTTCCAATCATTCGTTATGTTGGTACAGAAGTAGCTTCAGGTTGAGTTGTTGGTGGGGGAGCGATGTCAGTGAAGACCCAATATTTTGTGTGATTGAATTGCGCAAATGATGATTGTAAGAGACAGCAACAGGGATGGGCTATCAGACCTCTCCAGTCTACCCTGCGGTTCAACTGATGACAACAAATCTGTTATCTCAGCTCCTCCTTCATGCATCAACTCCATTTCCTGCTTCGGGATCAGTGGTTGATATCGCTGCCTCAGGCTTGCTGCAGTGCTTCAGCGAAGCTCAGCGCTAACTGGGAGGATGGCAGTTCATTTTCTGCTTGGGAACCCTGCAGCCTTTAGGACTCAATATCAAGTTCAATAATTTTAGGGTCCGATTCCATCCTTCCACGTCCTTTACCGACCCCTACACCCCTGGCCCTGTCATGACATGGTCTGCTGCATTTCCATCTACTCATGGTCCCCATTATCAGCTTCTCTTCCTCCCTGGCTTATCGTCAACCATCGCTTTGTCTGCCTAACTTTATCTTTCTCTCTGAGAGCTACATGTCCACCTATCCTTCCCCCCACCTCCCAAAGCTTATCTACCACCCTTTCCTAGCTACTATCAGTTCTAAAGAAGGGTCACTGGACTCGAAATGTTAACTCTGCTTTCCCTTCGCTGATGCTACCAGACCTGCTGAGTTTCTCCAGCACTTTATGATACAGATTTCCAGCATCCGTAGTTCGAAGTTTTATTTTGGGATAAATGGATCGATGAACAAATATAATTTGGCACGGACTCACTCCCTTCAATCAGACACACACAAATGGCCTTATGTACTTTTGCTTCACATCAAAGCCAATATCTTGCAAAGCGAGCAGCCATTTGAGTAGAGTAACAGATCTACCTCCCAACCCCATGTCAGGAAAAGTAGCAATATAGGATAATAAGGCTGTTCTATTTCTTTGCTGCAAGTTCAATGTAATTTGTTTCAGCTAATTGATGAAGGCAGTGAATTTAAGATGTCCCCAAGTATAAATGCTATCAGTTCGAGCACGTCATGATCTTTCAAACAATTTCTATAAATGGAGATTTTTTAAATCAATCTTGGAACATGGCCATCACTGGCTGGACCAGCGTTTATTGTCCATTCCTAGTCGTCCTTGAGAATGTGGTGGTCAGCTGGTTTCTTGAACTGCTGTGGTCCACATGCTGTACGTTGACCTTTAGGGAGGGAATTCCAGGATTTTGATCCAGTTACAATGAAGGAACGGCAATATATTTCCAAGCCAGGATGGTGAATGGCTTGGACAAGAATTTGCAGGGGGTGATGTTCCCATGTATCTGCTGCCCTTGTCCTTTGAAATGGCAGAGGTCATAGATTTAGAAAGTGCTGTCTAAGGATCTTTGGTGAATTTCTGCAGGGCATCTTGTAGACAGTACACACTGCTGCGACTGAGCGTCAATGGTGGGGCTTATGCCAATCAAGCGGGCTGCTTTGTCCTGGATGGTGTCTTGAGTGTTGCTGGGTCTGCACTTATCCAGGCAGGTGGGGAGTATTCCATCACACTCCTGACTTGTGCCTTGAAGGTGATAAACAGGCTTGCGGAGACAGGAGATGAGTCACTCTGTGCAAGATTCCTAATCTTTAACGCATTAGACACAGTATTTACGTGGCTGATCCAGTTCAGTTCTGATCAATGGTGTCCCCCAGGATATTGATGGTCTCACAACTGGCCTCAGTATGCCTTTGCGGGTAAAAATCCATCAGCATTTCCCAACTGGAAAGTGCATGTGCAGAGACTGTAGAACCAAGCTGCACAGACAGAGGCCATTCAGCCCATTATGCCTGTGTTTGCTCCCTGAGAGCATTATCCAACTACTCTCACTTCTCACCCATTCCCTATTGCCCCAAAGCAGTTTTACTTTACAACTATTTATCCAATTCCATTTTCAAAGTTCATTTTGAATTAAAACAAAAGACATTTGGACAGGTACATGAATAGGAAAAGTTTAGAGGGATATGGGCCAAACGCAGGCAAATGGGACTAGTTCAGTTTGGGAAACTTGGTCAGCATGGACAGGTTGGACCAAAGGGTCTGTTTCCGTGCTGTATGACTCTATGAATCTGTTCCTGAGGCCCTGTCAGACACTGCACTACAAAACTGTAACAGCTCCCTGCATAAAGACATTTCTCCCTGTTTTTGCTGTTGCATTTTGTGACAGGAACAAACTTGGTCCCCAAAGCGAAGGCTGCCCACAGATTCATAGTTCCTTGAAAATGGAGTCATAGGTAGATAGGATAGTGAAGAAGGCATTTGGTACGCTTGCCCTTATTGGTCAGTGCATTGAGTATAGAAGTTGGGAGGTCATGTTGTTGCTGTACAGGACATTAGTTTGGCCACTTTTGGAGTATTGCATGCAATTCTGGTCTGCCTCCTGTAGGAAGGATGTGGTGAAACTAGAAAGGGTTCAGAAAAGATTTACAAGGATGTTGCCAGGGTTGGAGGGTTTGAGCTATAGGGAGAGGCTGAATAGCCTGGGGCTATCTTCCCTGGAGGCTCGGAGGCTGAGGGGTGACCTTATTGAGGTTTATAAAATCATGAGGGGCATGGATAGGGTAAATAGGCAAGGCCTTTTTCCTGAGGTAGGGGAGTCCAAAACCAGAGGGCATAGGTTTAAGGTGAGAGAGGAAAAATTTAAAAGGATCCTAAGGGGCAACTTTTTCACACAGATAGTGGTGTGTATATATGGAATGAGCTGCCAGAGGAAGTGGTGGAGGCTGGTACAGTTATAACATTTAAAAGGCTGGATGGATACAGGAAGGCTTCAGAGGGATATGGGCTAAATGCTGGCAAATAAGACTAGATTTATATAGGATATCTGGTTGGCATGGTCGAATTGGACCGAAGGGTCTATTTCCGTGCTGCATATCTCTATGACTCTAAATAACTGGCTGTTTTAGATTGCCCTGGACAAATTCCTTTTTGAAAAAGATGGATAAAAGCGGAGCAGGGCAGGAACCTAACTTTAAAGAGAGAGAGAGAGGTTTGAAAGAGAAAGTCTACAGATTGAGACTGACTGCCTACAGTTGTATTTCTGCTCCAAGTGCTATGCACAGCCTGTCGTTGAAAAAACAATACCGATCCTCCATCCAAGACAAGATCGACTTTAAATTCAATTTGCATTGCTCCCTGCTGTTACGATAATAGACCATGCCATGCCATGTGTGAGAAACAATTAATAGTATCAAAAAATATCTATGGGTTCCTCTTCATACCACGTTTAATTCAAATCCAAATGACATCTATTACCTCGTTAATATATGGCACCGTATGATTCCTCTACATTTAATGAGTCAATTTAAAACCCCAATAGTTTCTATGTTAGGCCAAATATTCCTTCCGTTATCTTATCATTTTATATCCCTTTCTTCATTTTGTTGATCTGTTCTCCCTCTTCTGCTAGGTTTAGTTTCATCCTCTACCCTTCATCTCCCTCACTTTTCTTCTTCTCTGTCTTGCGTCTTTCATTTCCTAATGTCACCTACACCTGTTCCCCTGTTTTTCATTGCTGTGTCTGTATCGGTCGCTCTCCTCTCTTCTCTCATCTCTTTTGCTTCATTCTCTTCCCTCATCGGTCTCCTCTGATCTTGCCAATTTTCCACCTCCTCCTTTCCCCTCTGCCTGACCCTCCCCCCACCCCCTCACACTCCTCCGTAATCCGTCTCTAAAAAAAGTAAAGCCGAGCCCTCTGCCAGTTTCGCCATCGATTTCAGCTCTCTCGCCACCCTTCGGGCTCCTGCTCTGGCTTCTGTCTTCTCGGCTCAGAGCCAAGAATAAAAAAAGCCAATTTAAAAACAACTCTGACAAAAGAAAGAGACTGGAGTTGATCCATGCTGTGTTATCGATTCCAACCTGGCATCTTGCAATCCCGAATCTAACAGATGTCCCTGAATGCCTGTGGTAACGTCAGCGCCTCTCTGATAACTGACTAAATGGATCTGCAGCGCATGTCTAGTGTGTGGGTCGCTCTGGTGCCTAAGTCAGGTTTTCCCAGTTCCTTTGAATTATGTCAACTGAGCCTTCAAATGCAGCAAATAAAACCGTGCCTGCTTTAAGAATCATTTCACACCGCATCCAACATCGGAAGGTACGGTTCAAATCCAATAATTAAAAAACACTCCCTCAGCCTGAACAGTGACCAGACTTTCCTGCATTTCTGCGGTAGAACAGCAATACTTGGAAATGAATATT